CCATCACCCCCACCCTTCCCATCTGTACCCCAGTGCCCCTCCCTCCCCCTCCATCCTCCCCTGCCCCAATCCACCCATTCCTATCCCCATCCACCCCACAGTCCTGCCCTGTGTGCCCCATTCTCCCCTCTAGGCCTTGACAACCCCTCCCCCCCAATCATCTCCCTCCACTCTCATGTCCTGATCCTTCTCCCTCACCCCCAACCATCGGTCCCATCCCCCCCGCCTCCCCACTGCAGGGCCATCCCATTTCTTCCCCTTTGTCCACCAGTCCCGCTGTTTCTGGGGCTCTTGTGCCCTGCAAGGGACTTTTGGATGTCAGGCCAGGGGTGTGTATGGGGCGGGGGGGAAGGGGAGTGTCCAAGGGAACCCCCCTCCAATACCCCCCTCTTCCCTGTTGCACACACGGCAGGGGGAGGGGCTGGGGAAGCCCCATCCGCAGCCGGGGCAGCGGTTCTGATCCGCAGGGCAGGCCCATGTGGACCGGTGGCGGGAGAGGCCTGGCTCACCTTTCCCATAGGAGCGTTTGGGAGATGGGAGGTAGGGGGCTCTGAACTGCTGGGCTTTCCTAAGCTGGAGCAGAAGACAACAGTGTACGCTCTGGTGAGATAGGCAGAGGCAGTGGGGTCTCGTGGTTAGAGCCAGGACTCCTGGGTTCTATCCCCAGCTCTGGGAGGGGAGTGGGGTCTCGTGGTTAGAGCCAGGACTCCTGGGTTCTATCCCCAGCTCTGGGAGGGGAGTGGGGTCTCGTGGTTAGCCCCAGGACTCCTGGGTTCTATTTCCAGCTCTGGGAGGGGGAGTCTATCTGTTGTGATTGCAAGGAGATGGTGAGCCTAGGCCCGCCCATAGCTAAATTCCCTCCCCTCTTAAGCATGGGGGAGGGACCAGTGAACCCAGGCCCGAGTGAGTACTGGGGACAACAGATGAAAGAGCAGAGACAGGAGTGGGGCCTAGTGTTTAGAGCAGGGGACTGTAATTTGACCCTGGATTTCAGTTCCCCTTCTGCCTTGCTGCAACTATGCCCCTTCACTGGTCCATGCCTCAGTTTCCCCATCACCATTTTTTTTAATAATACCAAACTCACTGTGGGGAGGCGGGGGCGAGCCTGTGGGGCTTAAAATGAACATGAGCCCATGGGACAGAGGGTGCTGCAGAGATGCCAGGTCTGATCCTATTAGCCCTGCCCAACGGTGGTGAATCGACCCTCGAGGGGCGGGGGGCGCGGCGGGTTCTGCTGATTGTTCAGAGGCCTGGATGTTTTTTTCCCCCCCTTCCCTCCGCAACCAGGAGTAACAACCCATCATGACCAAAGACGACTCAGCCGAGCTTCCCTCCGAGGAGGCGCGCCAGCCGCTGGAGTTCCAGAGCCCCGTCCTGGAGCGGAGGAAGAAACCCATCGTCCATCCCTCCGCCCCTGCACCCTTGCCCAAGGACTATGGTGAGCTCGCCCCGCCGCCTGCCTGGGGGCTCGTCTGTGTCTTGCTCTCACCCTCCTTTCGTTCCCCAGACTTCCCCTGGCTTTGGATCCAAGGGCCAAGGCAGTCGCACGGGGTAACATTTCCCATTACCGAGGGGCCTCATCCCCAGAGGGGCTGAGCACCAGCCCGCGAGAGGCAGCGTGGCCTACCAGCTGGGGCCGCGGGAGAGTTGGGTTCAGTCCCCATCTCTGCTGCTGATCTCCCGCTCGCTGTGTGCCTCAGTTTCCCCTCCTGCCTGTTGTCTGGTTTGACGGCACGCTCTCTAGGGCAGGGGAGGAGGGGGGCGCTTGCTCTGAGTCTGTGCACAGCCCGACACAATGGGGCCCCGATTTCAGCTGGGACCCCAGGGCGTTGCCATGATGCACGTATGAGTGGCAGGTGCTCAGAACTTCTAGGGATCAGACTCCAGCATCCAAATCCTAGCTCTTGTCATTAAGGGGTCTCAGAACCCCATTTGACAGATGGGGAAACTGCTCCATGCCTCAGTTTCCCCCAAAATCACCCAGCAGGGTGGGGGCAGAGCTAGGATTAGAACCCAGGTTTCCCGGGGCCTAATCCAGTGGTGGATTCACTAGGCAGCACTGCCTCCCCGCATTGGCCTATGGGTGACAAGGATGTAGTTGTAGTCTCCTCCCGTGCGACGCTGTGTCATTCAGCTTTTAACCCCAGGGCCAGGTGCCCTGACGTCTGAATCCTTCTACTTATCCGCCATGCGTTCCACCCCGCCCCCCCGCCACAGCGGCTCACCGCTGCTCGGACAGGGCCAGCTCCGAGCCAGCAATCTCCACGGCCCAGGCAGGCCCCGCTGTCTGTGCTGAGGCTGCCAGCAAGAGGGGACTGTGCCGTCTGCCGTCTGAGAAAGTGGGCTGAGACCAGCCAAACTCGCTTCATGTAAGCCGCCGACCCGCGCGTCAGTGCTAATGGAGCTGGGCCATAGAAACCGAGGCCTGATCTGAGCGGAGTTAGGACCAGTTTGTGTCAGGTGGGAATATGATTCTTCCTCCCTATACAAGGCGGACGGGTTATACCGGTATAGCGCCTATAGGTGGGAATAGTTATCCATGTCTGAGCATCTTGACGCCTGTAAAACTGCACCCGGGTCTCCTCCGTTAACTAGACTGGGATAATTAAGGCAGGACGACTTGGGAGGGGAGACAGAATCCCTAGGCTGGATTTGAACCAGAGGTTCTGAAACCTTCCCTTTGACCGCTGGGGCGGGCGGGCTGGCTGGTTCCATGAGCCTGAAATTTACGACCGAATTACCCCTCTCAGGAGCAGGACCCGGTGGAGGTGTGCCGGGGACAAACTGGCAGGTGATCGGTTTCTAAACACAGCCCAGTGATTCAGCGATGCGTCATCGGATGTCATTATTCTGGAAAGTCTCCCCCCC